GAGGAGGAGAACAAACGGCTGGCCTTCCTGGCTGTCCTCGTATGCCGCAAGGATTGTGGTAGCCTAAAGACCGAAGTGTTCATAAAAGCGACAAATGCGATGCAAGTACTGACCTTCAACAGCAACCACCTAATCAATCACAAACGCATCTGTGTAAAGACGCTCTATCGGCATGTCGAAAGTCACTGCAGTGAGCCATAAGATAAGATTGACGAACTGCAATACTTCCGACGGGTCTTCAAAGCCAATGGCCACCCGTGCAACACCGTCAGTCGATGCATACGCAAAAGGGGCGAAAGGCCTAACCGCATGGACCCCAAATCTTGGCGGGCACTTCCGTATGTCAAGAACGTTTCGGAAGCTGTCGGCCGCCTTCTCGCACCACTTGGGGTTGGAGTTGCACACAGACCGAAGGCAGCCATCAGGCGTCAGTTAATGAAACCGAAAGACCCGCTGTCACGGCCAGAAACGTCTGGAGGGGTTTATCGGATCTGGTGCAGTTGCGGACAAAACAACTACGTCGGGGAAGCCGGAAGACAGCTCCGAACGCGGATAGCCGAGCACGCTGCAGCGCTGCGGAGAAATGACGCCAGCTCTCAAGCTGAGGCTCATTCGACGAGATCTGGCCGCAAATTCACATTCGAAGAGGCCGAAATCCTCGCCAGAGGTGACAACCACGTGAGCCGGGAGCTGCTTGAGTCATGGTTTACTGGCCCCCGGTCCATTAACAAGTGCAATGACCTTCCTCTTCCATACTCGGTGCTGCGACTTCGTCTAGGCGGAGAAATTAGTCATGCGGGGAGCGCACAGGTGGACACTTTTCCTCACACCAGGGTCGGTGGGCCAAATGGTCGAACAATCACCACACCAACATACAACACACGTGATGAAATTGCAGCGATTAACGACGCGAATGTCGGCCATCAAACAGTCATCACACCAAGTGCAACGATCCCTGATGAAGGGGAGAGCCATGAAAATTCATAAGTGTGCGGTAGCATGACAACTGCATTCTATAAATACTGCAGCTCCTTGTGCATGAACCACCCGTATCTGCTTTTGTCTCTAATGATGTATCCTAGCAGGATTCCAAAACGTCAGGAGAATAAAGCTCTTGTCTCAGCGACCGTGTCTCCTTCACGATGGACAAGAACCTCTAACACGCAGCCCATCTGCCTCTCCTGACTGTGGTTTTTCCCAAAAAAACCAATCGACCGTCAGGTTCAACTTATTTTGCAGCATGACAATACTCCATCTCACGCGGTCCAACAACCCATCAAAAACGTTCTGCCGCGCCCCCACCGCAATAGGGCGCAGAAGTGAAAACCACAAAGACCGGCTTGGCAAATACTTTAACGCCAGACTAATCGATTTTTTTATAGAAGCGGCCTCAAAAACTGACCCAGCTAAGGGAAGAGGTCGTAAACAACAATGGCGGGTGGAGCATTTATTGCGAATTTTGCCTTCATAAGTTGAGTTAACGACTACAAAGTTCTACTACCCACAGTCGCATAGGCCTAGCGCCGGTTGATCGATCTGACTTGTCTGTAGATGATGCGTATTTCTCCCTCGCCCCTAGACAACAAGCAGTTGCTGAGACGCAGACAGTTTATCGGTAAGGTCAGTTGAAAAAGAGGCGATTGGAATGAGGCGACAGTTGGAATTTTTACCATGGTTGACAACTGTGAGATCATGTGCTCTTGCATCTCCCCTGTCCGTGTATGCAATGGTTCCAACTCACGACGTCTGCTAACTCGATTGTCCCCCGTTCAGTACCACAATCGTTTGATTACTGTCTGCCCCTCTAGGCGCGTCCGTCTGCGATATCTCCAGTCCAAAGGTAAAACAGAGGGTCCAGCATCGGACAGAACTGGTATACACTAGCGTTCACCGCCTCCAATGTTGATGGTGGGTTCGAGCAGGAATTCGAGACGCCACGCGATTAAAGCTCTTGTCCCAGCGATTGTGTGCCCTTCTTCAGGACTGCTTCCTGAGACTCGTCTCTTCGATCCTATTGGCAATCGACAATGTGTTATGTCAGGTCTAAAGGCAAAGAATTCGCCACAACAGTTCATTCGCCGTGGCCAACGATGTGCGCCGTGTGCTCCACAGCAGTTGGAGAGACGGGACGGTGACCTGCGCGCGAATCAGGTCATAGTGATAGCAGGCCTGAACCGCACCCACCGCACTACCTCCTACTTCCCCGCTGTCAAGACAGCGTCAAGAAGACCGGCGGTGGAGAGGACGCAGGTGGCCGGAAATTCGCACCTAGGTGTACGACCGCGTCCTCTTGTCAACGACCAGGATTTTGTACAAGAACAAAGGCGGTTGCCCGGATCCACAGGGACGCGGTGCGAGACTGCACATGGACCTTCCGCCACATCCCCAGTGTCGCCATCTGTTGTAGGTGTGCAGTCCCCATAACGCCTTCCGGAGCCCGATGTGGTCCCCGTGTTGGTCCAGCGCATCCACCGCGTGGCCCGTCTTAGGGGCAGCCTACGATAATACTCAAGCACACCATACCTGCAAGTAGAGAAGGACAAAACTGCTGAACGGAGGGCCGCCCCGTCGGCTGTTCATCACGAAGACATCTGCTGTATGGCTGTGACAAGCTAACCACAGACAACTTTCTGCGCCCTTCCGCTCTTGCCTAGTCTGTATTTTAAAAACTAACTTTTATCGATTTTTTCACTCACTGTGCCCTGTCCCATATAACTGTACCGGCCTGACGAGAAGTTGTCGAAAGCAACGTTCGCTCACCACCTTTTCTTCCGACTAAAGTACTCTCCTACAACGACCGCCCAAACAAGCTGACTCCAAAATCGAAGAAAATTCTCGATACTGAATTACTTCATCCCCCGTGGGGAGAAGGCTTTGCAAAGCCAGTTCGAGGCGTAGTAGGCAGCACAAAGCCCCACGTGGGAAACGCGCAATAAATCCGTAGTAACTCTGCTCTACCCCCGTGAAAACTGTGACCGACAGCCACTACTACGTCCGGTTTATGGTATCTACTTTGGGGATCAAGCAACTCATGGTGGCTCAAACTAATGACAAAGGCTCTTGCTGCAGAACAACCCTGCATTATGCCTGACGCGCCAAATGGAAACCAGACAGCCGACTTCAGCTCGGACACACGCGCGTCCAGGCAGTCGCAGCCATCTACGACTCACCTGAGCACATGCACGTCCCTCACTTGATGCGTATCAGCAGGCCACTGTTCCGAGGCTATAAGAGACACGTATAAACAGGCAAAATGGTGAGTGTACGGCAATCGGTGCACTGGAACTGAAACGAGTTAATGCATCCCTCCCAAGATGCGAAGTGTTTTCCACCAAAACAGGCAAAGCAAGTGAACTTCCCGCACATCTTCCCCCAGAGCTGACAGCAAGCGTGGAAAATCGAGGGAAAATACATGTCACCAACGTGGCTATTTGCCCCTCAGCATTCGTTGACCGTTGCGCTTCATGCTAACCACCTCTTAAACCCCGTTCGCACTTCTCACGTGAAAGCACAACCGACCGCCTGGGCCTGCGTACTGAACAGTCATCGGGACTGGCGATGAGGTTCCGGCAGCTGAACCCTTTTTGGCGATTTCTTCAGTGTACAGACTTATTTATGAAGGTGTGCTGCTGGCGAGTAATTTGGTGTCGGGCAGTACCGGCCTGACTGGCTGTATTCCGTGTCTGGAGGACACGAAATAATGCCCCAAGTGGTCTTTGGTCGGGTGTGCGAATTTGACATTCTCATTCCCAAAATGTTATTCTAAAAATTCGGCACATGGCTCTCGAGCGCAAAAGTTCCGTGTTTAAGTTTGCTATAACTGACGACACAGCTACCCTTAACCTACCATCCTCCAAAAATTACCCTGTATTGGCACGGTCCGAGATCCGCAGTTTTCTCACAAGATACGCTCGTCCCAGATTTGTCCAAGAACCTCGCGGCACTCGGAGTCCAACTCCCACATTCGTCGACTGGCTACTCCCTCGCGACATCCACAACATCTGAATAAACGAGGCGTTTGTACAATCTTCGTTCACGGTTGCGACTACTGGCAGACGAGTGAAAGTTGCGAGGTTTTGGCATCGTTTGAGGGAAAGGTAGGGATGGCCCTAACCCCCATAGTAACCATAAACTTTACGCGTAATGCCCACGAGAAAAAGGGCAACCCAAACCCGCCTACTCAGTAAACTTAAGTACACATTTATGACAAATGAAGTCTGTCGGGCGATCATACAGGTTATCCTCACTGCGTGGAACGCGGCAACCTTGTCCCGGAGGTAGTCCACATCCACTGCATCATCAGAAAGACATCGTAGGCCACCGAAAAAAGAAGAGTTAGGCAGATAGCGCACGTTCCTTGTCACCCTCCTGGGTACATCTGTCCTGTTTTCCTTAATCCCCCCTGACATGCGCCAGCTGGAGGCGACGAAAAGGGCAACCCGAAATTTGTCTCAAGATGTGGAGGCGGTTGTCGCACCTGCAGGACTCGGTCTTCTTATGTGGAAGAGTTAACCGAACTCATTGGATCCGCTGCCGGACGTGGGGAGGAGATGGTGGGGGGCATAACCCGACTAGGAAGCAGTGGCGATCCATGCAGCAGCGATACCCCTAGTCATGGCTGGGCAAGAATGTGACAGACCGGTTATCCACAAAAAGGTCACAAACCACGGCACTGTTACGACAGATCAAATCCTAACCATCATCTATAATGATATCATTCGCACAGTCCTGAAAACCGATGCGCTGGAGGGTTGACTGAAAGAAATCCACATTCTAATCGGGGCATTACAGAAGATCATCCTACAGGAACCCGCGAAGCAGATGACAACCGACTTTGGCGACGGATCAAAGGACGCCAAGTGTTAATCAGTCACGAATCCACTAACTAGAACAACCTTATAACAAGAGGTTCATGAGAAGAAATAATCTTTTGAAAGTTCCGCGACCGTCAAAAAGGGAAATACTTTACAAATTAGGGGGGAAGAGGGGAGCGTCAGATGTCACGCAAACGGGATGCCCGCCTTGCGAAAGACAAGCAGGAGTCTCAAGAGGTCATCTTCGTCCATGGAGCGCGCTCGCGATGACTCGAAGCCCGCGTCGCGGAGGATTTGGCGTACTTTCTGTGCCATTGCCTCAATTCCGACCGCGGACTGCTCATCCGCGACCTCTGGCGGTGTGGGCGCAATGGAGGTGGCCTTGCAGGCCGAGAGGTAATTCTTGCGTAGCATTGCGGTGATCGTTTCGGCCTTCAGGTTGGAGGCGACCGTCTTGTTCTTCCGAGCGAAAACCAGTCGCAGGAGACTGTCCCACTCAGCAAAGGAGACTGGTGGTTTCGGGTGGCGTGGCTCGATCCGGATCACAGTCGAGTCAACGCGCGGCGGCGGCTTGAAACTTTTTCGGCTCACCTGCGGGTATTCGAGTGAAACAGAAACAGAAACAATGTGCCAGTTATTTTTGTCGCCACACCTACGGCACATCCACATAACAGCCTAGCCCGCCAATTAAGTGATCACGAAGTGATAATGGCAAATCCGTGCGACTCAAACAATAAGAAATGTTGCTTACTCGAGGGGGGCGCAGTGATGAATTACGTATGGAATTCTCTGAACTAAGGCCGGCTTCTGCAGTGCCTACCTTACAAACCGCCCGTCCGCCCGCGCCCGCTATGTTCCACTGGCAAGGCAAGATCAAGGTGGCAAAGGAGGGGCCCGAGCGTAATGACCTAGGAGGCTGAGACCACGTCTACGCATGCTATGCGAGTGCTGGCCCCAATGGGACGGGTTAAGTATCTTGCAAAAGTGAGCTTTCCGTAAAAACTAACTAAGGAAGCACTGTGACCTGGCCAATAGTACTGATTAGGACTGGGTTATTTCGACAATTGGTAACCTCCAAAATGCGCCTTGGTGTTAAGAGTGGGGGTCCGATGTGGACTGACTGCGCACTCTTTCGTCGCCATGTATGCAAGACAAATAGGCCGCACGACCAGGAAAGTTGACAAGCCCACGCATTCGGACAAACAGACCATTTCCACTCGTCCACCGTGAGACTGCCCCTCGTAAACTTCTGTGCAAAGGCTGCAAAAGTGCAAAACCCTAGTAAACTCCGCAACGTCAAATTTTGAAAACAGGGACCGTGCCAACAGACCGGGGAGACCTTGCCCTCACACTGACATTCGGGAAGGGTAGCGGGCCACTGTGTATGAACCCTGGTGATACGGGTCGCCCGACGAGTCTGTGCAAGAACCATCGCAATACGAGTCTTTTGGGCACTGCACGTAGTCTCCGGAACTGCCCTCGTTGGATCTCTTTCTATTACACAGCTACACAAGGCCATTGTGGCGCTGAGGAGCTCCTCTGCATAAATGCGACGACCAGTGCCTCCAATAGGCGCGAAACCAGTCGACGTTGGCTCGACAATGCACTCGTTCACAGCAAAGATGTTCGTTTCGGTTATTTAGGACAAAGATGTCTGCCCACTCGGAGTGGACGGAGACTCCTTAGGCTAATAAATAGCTTTCACCATCTTGGCTAAAACTATCTGTCAATTGGGTGTGGGATGGAGTAAGTCGACCACTGGACCCTTATCTGCGACTGTCTCTGACGATGGGTTGGAGTGAGAATTCGAAACGTCAGGCCAATAAACTTCTTGTCCCAGTGATCGCATCTTCTTTATCTCCTGAAAAACTGCAATGTTGAAGTGGCTCAAAGAACGTTGGAAGCATCTATTGAAGGCCTGACACTGCATCAGTCTGGCATGTACAGTCCTTGCTTCAAAAACCTGCCTAGGGTTATGAGTTTGCGGAATGCGGGCTGCGCCGTCGATCTCGACAAGGAACCCCCTTGGGACAAAAACAAGATCAAACGACGTGGGCAGAGTAGTAAATAGAGGCCGGTGGATGTGACGAAACAACTATTTGCCTTTCTGAGTCCTCATTATCTGAAAATTTTGTTGCCGACATGGGGTTTGATAAACCTGTTTTAGAGGGAACGATAACATGATTGTAAATGTCAATCGATAAACCCGAAAAAGTGGCAAGCGGGTATGTTTGCTGCCACAGAAATTTCAAACTGCTGGGGGTATCGATGTGTACTACCTTAATGAGCTGGGCTATTTTGAAGTGAAATTGGGCGTTGGCTGAAAGACGGCAGTAGATTTTGGATCCGGGTTGGGCGAGAAGTCGATCAGCAAATTCCTTCTGCAGCATGACAATGGCAGCTCGAAAGTGGTTCTCCACAGTAATCAGCCGACCAATGAAGGGGGAGGATATCTGGTAGGGCAGGTTGGCCACGCATAAGTCAAATTTGGGCCATTTCGTGGCTTTGATGACATCACCTACTATTATCTCCAGTTTGCTTCGTAGAGGACTGTAAATGATAAAAGAAAAGCAAGTCAGTTGGTGGCAGAGGTAGGACATTGTTTTTGTTTGTGGAAAGGACACCAGTCGTCTTTAAATCTAAACAGACTTCATAGGTATTTTGGCAGATTTTGAATAATTCATATTGACCCAACGGTGGAAAACTCGGCGCCCCGGCTGGATTCGAACCCACACTGTAAGGGGAAGGCTTTAGTACAGCCAACGCTCTAACCACTGGAGCTACGAGGCCCCGCCGGACGACGCGAGTTTAATCACATTTGGGTCAAGTTACCCGCCCAACCTACTGCAACGTATAGAATCCACGAAATCTGAACCAGTAAGTTGACTGCCCAAGCAGGATTTCCCAAGTAATTCACCTAGAATCCACCAGATGACTACCAGACTCACGTAAATCATAGGTATTTTGGAAGTCAACTTACTGTATTAGATTTGGTGGATACCAGACGTTGCAGTAAGTTGGGCGAGTAACCTAACCCAAATGTGATTAAAATCGTGTCATTCAGCGGGGCCTCGTAGCTAAAGTGGTTAGAGCGTTGGCTGTACTGAAGCCTTCCCCTTACTGCGTGAGTTCGAATCCCACCGAGGCGCCAAGTTTTTCACAGTTGGGTCAATATGAACTAAACAGAATTCTTAGAAAATTTTATGAACTCTACATGGTGTCTTCTTTAAAGCGTAAAGGAATATATGATTCTAATTCAGCGGAAAGTATATACCCTGTAGACTGAAATCGCTAAACGCTAATGCAACGGATAATCCGGCTCAAAATTATTCGGGAGATGGAGAATTTTTTCAAAGCCCAAATATACACTTTCTTCGAGTATAAAATATGCAGACCATATGATTTGCTACAAAATAAGTAAAAGAATGCATATTTTGTGCATGTCTTATTAGAAAATGTGTTTGAATTTATAAGGACATCGAAGATCAACGCGAAGAATTCATACTACTTAAATGGTCATTTTTTACCAAGTGCGGTCTTTGCGCGAGATCAAAAGAAGCATATTCCAAAGCCGACATCTTGGCGAGTCCAAGACATTATAGGATTAGGCCGCATTATAATCAGTACTACAACCCCACCTAGGTAACCGCTCCTAACCGAAAACGCATATCAGAATTTCGGCTAACATTTACTGAGACCAGCTACTGACTGTACGTATATTGAAATATAGCATGTAAATGACACATCTGGCTAGGAAGTCAATGAGCGACTTTAAAGGTAGATCAGTGGCAATCCGTAATTAGTTGACGCAATTCTCATCGGACATAAGTTTGAAAATGGTGCGCGATGCTTGTATCTTCAACGACTTAAAAGGATATAAGTGTGGCATGAAAACCACTTGCGATCTACGTTCTAATAATTTCCAAAACAAGTGGCAGTGCTCTAAATGACTTCCGTCTGTGATGGAACGTATGTTTTACTTATAATCTAATAAAATCCTTGAGAATTCAAAATATCTTTCATAAAACTCCATCTACAAAATGAGCACATACTCACGTATATTGAACCCGTTTTTGGAGTTCCGCCACCATTCTGGGGTCTACCTCAAACGCACAAACTTTTTTGGCTTTTTCCAGCAATTTGACAGTAAGATTTCCCGTGCCGGAACCGACCTCCATAACCGTATCGATGGGCTTGATACCCGACTTATCCACGATGCTTTGAACAACAAGGGGATTCTTGAGAATGTGCTGACCCTTGTCACGCTGGAACCGGATGCCGCCAGCTTTGAGGCCGGTGGCATCTTTTGATTTCTTGGACGTTGGTCTCATTGTGACATTCGAAATTCACTGAGTCTTTTGAAGCCTGAATTGTCCGTGCGATTACAGGGGACTCTGGAATTACAGGAGATCAATCAATTAGCCAGTGTATTAGGAGTAGATGACAGACGCCCTTGAAAACTACATGCAGATGATATAGGGGTGTGTGTGTGTGAGAGAGAGAGAGAGAGAGAGAGAGAGAGAGAGAGAGAGGGAGAAACGATTAATTTGCGAATACTTTACATGCTATTTTTTGTATGCGAACAGCATAATTTAGGTGGTGAAACAGAAGTGTCAATAAGGTCGAAAATTTGCGAAATAAAAGGACACAATACATCCACAGCACTTGCACGCGATAAGTGTAGCAGCGTCAAAGTACATGCAAACAAAATGAGTTATTGGGGAAAAGTGGGTAGTATGTTTATAGTTATAACTGTGTCTCATCAGAGGGGATCAGGAAAGTCCTAGCCAACCTCTAGCAGATGGGCAACCAGATGTCCCTGGAACACTCGCGGTGAGGGACTGCATTAATGCGTCGGTAAAGAATTCCACTGACGAATAACTCCCTGTGAGAAAGACGACCATTGATTGACATGGCACAGTCCCTTCCACAGTAGGCAATCTTGTCTTCTGAAATTCGTTATCGGTGCTTATTTCAAGACGACTACAAGAAGGAGTTTACATGAAGATCAAGTTCCCGATAGCAACTGAAACGTTACTATAAGGTCCTCTTGTCCTATCTATAGTGCAAGGGGTAGAGGTCTAAAACGGTCAGGCGCCTGTTCGTACGTTAGGTGTCTGAGCTCAGAAACGAAATTCGTAGCCCTCAGGGATACCTGTCTTTTCGCAGCAATGGCCACCAAGCCTGCACCGCGTATTCCAAGTGCGGCTACACAGATGCTCTAGATACCTGGCCGAAGATATCAGCACTCAGGTCTAGAAATGTTTTGGGTGTCACATTGGTAGTTAACCTTCTCTGTGGTGCAACTTTGGAACACTGTGTTGTCCCGCTTAAGTAGACTTTAACGAAAGCTAAGTGGTCGATTTTCCAAGAGATTCTGTCGTGAAACTGCATGACTTCGCCGTCTTGCTGACTTTGTGCATTACCACACATTTTGAAATGCGCCAGAGTACGCTCCGTGCCTCCATGCCCGTGCGGCTGCTTAAGAAGAATTTAACGAAAACTAAGTGGTCGGCCAATAGAAACGAAGATACGAGTCCCAGGAAGCAGTCTTGAAGAAGGAGAGACGATCGCTGGGACAAGAGCTTTATTAGCCTGGCGTTTCAGATTCCTGCTCAAACCCATCATCAGAGACGAAAGCAAATACGGGTCTCTGTTCCAAGAGATTCTGTCGTGAAACTACATGATTTCGCCGTTTTGCTGACATTGTGCATTACCACGCATTCTGACATGCACAGAATATGCTCCATGCCTACAGTTTTTTTCTATGTCCTGTTGTAATTTCTGGGTGCCTCTTTAATCTTTTATCACTCTCCACAACTTTAAATGATCTGCAAAGAACGTTATACCCGGTTTCACTCCTCACACTAGGTCATTAGCATAGGTAATAAGCACTGACGACCCAAGAACCGATCCCCGTGGGATCCCATTTTTAACAGGCGTCCATTCTGGACGGTACCTACCTGCAGTGTTTTTTGTTTGCCATCGTTCAGAAATCTTTAAACCAGTTTAGGTTTCTTTTAATGCCTAGATCTGACATCTCTAGATGAGGCACTTGCGTGGGAGGTCCTGCTGAAGTCAAAGTAAATGGCATCAATTGAATGTCTTTCATTTACTGCCTCTAGCCAACGCTCGAGCGACCTAGTTTCGCAGAGGCCATGCTGATACGGGCAGGTTTGACAGCGAAATGAGAAAAATGATCTTTTAATTATGCCCTCGCTATTAGCTTACAGCAGATGCATAACAGGCTGACCGACCGGTTAGTCGGTATGAGAATTTTACCAGCTTCAACCCATTTTCGAGAGATAATACGCAGCAGGTCGGTTAGTCGACATGGAGTACACCTGGAATCTCATCCGGTTCAGGTGAACTTGGCCGGATCCAGCGTCTCCAACTCTGCCAAAACTAACTGCGGTGCAAATAATTCCGTGCTTATAAGTGGGTAGATGGTGAACTTTGGCAGACAGTTGAACTGGGTAGGGGGTTCCGTGGTATAGACTGGAAAAATCCCGAAAGCCCGGCTTCTTGAGGACTATAGCTCTTAATTTTGCAAGGTGATTACAATTCCTAATACTACTCTTGATGTAGACATAGTGCTTTGAGTTCTCCATGGTGTCTCTTCCGGGATCCTCAGTTTATAAGAGGCAAGTTTTTCACGGAAAAGTCTTTTGCATGAAGCGCATTATCGTCTCAAGGTTTTACGTTCTTCCGGGCTCTCCGCTTTTCCATAACAGGCGTTTCTTTCGAATTGCCTCTCCTACCGCGATCGTCAGTCATTTCGGTCTGCTTCTGGTCGAGTTTTTCTTGAGGGGGAAAGTCCCTTTTAACCAAGTTCTTCATAGTTACTCCAAAGGTTCCCCAACATTCGTCGATAAAGACTGACTTCAGCCCTACAGACACGGTTGAAACAGGCACTGGTCCAGGCAGATAGGATGCTACGAGCAGAACTTTTTTACGGGGATGATAATGCTCATATCACGAGTCAAATAATAAGACTATAAAAGAAAACGAAATGATTCGAGGTTCACAATCGGTCGGAGGATACTTTGCAAACGATTGGGTCCGTGGCTGCAACAGTTGCAATGAAAGAGGGCGCATGATTAGAAGCACCTACGGGGAGGGGGTGAAATACAATCTTCTGTGTTTGACATTGTGTTTCAGGACACAGAAACACACGTGGACAGTTCCCACCGAATATTTCGACCCAAAGCAATTCATGAAAACATAGCCAATAAGTTCACTCGCCGCCACCAGTGCCGAAACCTGGTCATCTACAAGACAGTTCGATCGTCGTTTCCGACGATGTCACAGCTTGCGGCTCACATCGGGGAAACTGGTCACAGTTTTGATTTTCAAGGGGCAATCGTCCTTGGCAGGGGCACCTCAAGGACAGAGCGTCTCGCACTTGAGGATTGGTACTCAGATGCCAACTCTATCAACAGGCATCTAGACCTTCCTTCGGCCTATAAAGTCCTACGTCACTACATACGCCGTGACGAAGACAAGACAGTCATACGGAGCCTAAGACTACCGAGCAAACACGGGCCATCGACCAATTCACCCAAAAGGGGGACGCAAACGCACCTAACCCCAATTGAGGTGACGACACACAACAGAGGAGGCCACCAACACTCACAGGCGACGGCCGGTAGGCCAAGGAAGCGAAAGAAGAAAAAAATTGACCAGCCCAAGGCCAATTAATCCGGCAGTCTAGTAAAATTCTGATCGATTTCTTCACTATACGTTATGACAATGGAGAGCCGCCCCAGCTCTTCGAAACGTCAGCCAAACAAATCCCTCGATCCGGTAAGCACTTCATTTTCCTCAGACAAACAAGTCAATCCAGTGGTTGCTTAGGGTATGGGTTCCCTCTGATGATTTTATTAGGTCACCGTCAGTGGGTTGGCGTTGGCCTGTAAATTAATGGTTATAAGTGGTGGCTGCGTCCATGTCTGTGTTCTGTGTGACAGCCCAATAGCGACGCATAGGTTGGCGATGTAGCGTACCGGTTACCAACGCGATGGTGGCTAAGAGTTCGCGACAATATTTCCGTTCGTGGGTTTTACGGCGTTTAGCTTAGGAAGCGCGCATGCTCTCGACTTCTGAGTGATCGGGCTGTGGTCCAACTTTCACCCACAGCGGAGGCACTGGCACTGGACGTGCATCTGTGATCGTACGCAGCAGCACAGGTAATGGTGTCGGGATGAGGCGCGTTACCAAAACCTTACATTCTGCATGATACCTTTCTGTCCAATCAAAATGACGTCAGTCATCTTTTGCGCGATAAAGGGATGGGGCGATCGATGCGAGATGTAAAATAACGCGTGTTAATATGACACTAATCCATGGAAACTCTGGAGTTTTGGCCGATTTTGGCGAGGAGTATACCTTAACGGCAACGGCTTTCTCCGGCGATGCAAGAACGCCTTTCTACTGAACTCGTGCCTCAAATACGCCAGTTTTTCCTTTCTGTGGGCTCAGGCGTAACCCGATGTCGCGCATGGCTTTTGAAACAGTAGTCAAGTTCTGGTTACGTGGCGTCGTCGCTCGAAAGTCTTTACATCAACGTAAAACACGAGAAAATCTTTAAATGAGAAGTGGGAGCACAAATAATGAGTTTTGTAGGTTCATCGGCTCTACTTCCACTTTCCGGCATCTCAAGTTGAAGTCGAGTGTATAAAACTAATGAGCGGCAGCAAAACGCCTGGTGTTATGTCGATGCACTTAAAAGAGAACCTCTCAGCCAGTGCACTTAGCTGACGATCATCTAAACAAAATTGTAGCCCTCCATCTTGCTTGGACACTAAGACAGCTGAGGCACCCAGTATCGGCATCATAGCTGCATTGCTCGAGTATTGAGCATCGGGTTTACTATTGCACCAACCTCCTGTTGAAAGAGTGCAGGTATTCATCCTGGTATTTACTTGACGGGATTGACTGTGTTTATCAATGCAAAACCGAGACACAAAATTGACTCAGGCAATCCTCATTCCGGACAAACCCATGCTGTCGGGCTGCATAACGTCTGGGACGCTTGCCCAGGCAGCGTTAGTTAACTCGAGTTAAGGCGCTAGGAGCTCAGGGCAACTGATCAACTTCGGTAGCCCGGAATTTTTACCTAGACGCGGCCGAAAGAAAACGGATGACACCATTGTCCCTGTCTATAACCACCTCTAACCTCAAGACCGTCAGGCACAAGGGTTGAGTGATGCTATGGGGTTCACGATAAACATGTAAACAATATGCATCCGAGTCGTTGGATTTGTTCTGGATGTTAGCCGTTGAACTATGGTATGTGAATGCCTGGTGGGCCAAAGAACTTTAGATGCCC